TCCCGTGGCTTTTACTGATGACATGCTTACAGCTTAGCAACATCCAAGAAAGAAAAAAAATCACTAAATACTACCTAGGAGGTTGTATCGGAGAGAGGATCACCTCCGTGTGCTCCATGCTTTCTCATGCACCCACTCGTGGTCACTGCCAGACAAGGGATTTGGGCAGATGTGGCCCCCCCCAGCCCGGGGAGCCACTCCTGTGCCAGATGCTGTGGTGAAGCACGTCCTTCACATCACCACTCCTGCAATAGTGTACCTCCTGCCTGGAGGACCTCCTACATCCCACATGACACCCTGTGGAGCTTTGGGGGCCAAGCAGGACGATGCCTGAACAGCGCTGGTGCAGCGAGGCCTTTCCCTCCTGCAGGGCTGGGTGGTCAAACATCAGAGGCTGTTGGCACCATGGGACTCACGGACACCCCTCGCCTGGCTGTCCCCTCTCAGCTAACCACACTGCCCTTTTAAAAAGCAAACCCATTTTCACCTCCGGAGCCCCGTGACAACATGGCGGGTCCTCCTGCCACCCTCCAACGCCACGGCCGGGGCTGTTGCCAGCGTGCGAATGAGTGACGGGGCCAATGTCCGGCAGGGACACATGTCTTGAGACCCTGCCTGCAGCTCTGACCAACCCTCGGCCTCATGTGAGCTCCAGTACAGCAAAGGAAAAAAACAAGGGCAAAAAATATCTGTGGTATTTTAATATCAAAGGATTACGTTTCTAGCCTTTCTTTTTGGGGAAAAATCCAACATTTATAAAGCTGGAAAGAAAGACAAAGGATCAAGCTTGTGTTGATATCAAAGAGGAATTCAGCTGAGAATAGACTTCAAGGGAATTTTATTTACGGTGTATCTACTGGGTGGGCATTTGTGACCTTTAGAAAATGGATTAAAGTTTTGCCATACCCAGCTTCAGGCTGTGTGAATTATTAAAGCAACAAAATCACGAAGTTAAAGTACTTCAGCAAAGCAAACCACGTTGCCATCGGGCTTTCTTTGCAAGGGTCAGCGAGAAGCCACCCTCAGGGAGCCGGGCCTCCCCAGCACCCTCCTGCACCGGGCCCAAGGAGGCGGCCAGCCGGGAAGGCGGACGCCTCCACCCGGAGCTGCCGTGCTGAGGACGGCCTTCCCTCGCCGTGGGTCCGCCGCGAGCACCCGGGTCGGCCGGCGGGGTTGCCTGGGGTCCCTGTTCTCCAGGCCCTCACCGTGCAGCCTGCCAGCTGTAAAAACCTCTTTACTACCAGACGGGTTCCCCCAAACCTTCACAGGTCCCATTACAACTTCACAGATCACTCAAAACAAAGAAAATAAAAAAAGAAGGAAAATGACAGCAACGCCCACCAGGCCCCTGCGGATCGCCTGCATGGGCCCAACCACCCCAAGACACGTTTGTTCTCTGTGGAAAATTTCATTTCACGCTGCTGCTCACTCCAGCCCCCAGCCCCGGGTTTAATCCCCTGTTTCCACCAGCAGACAAAGACATAAATCCGTGCTGAAGAACTTCAGATATGCTTTTATTTCTTCACAGCAGTAGCGTGGAAATAATGAATTCCCATAACCCTATCCTTTATGCCTTGGAAAAGGCGGCCGCAGCTGATTCAAGGGAGAATCGAGAGGGAAGCCTGGGTGGGAGGAGGAATACAGGAGCAAACGCTCCCTCGGCTGCCTCCCGGTTCAAATGGAGAAAGACGTAAGCCAGGAGAGGTCAATTTTTAAGAAGGGAGATGTCAGGATACCTGCAATGCAACCAACACACCTTCTGAGATTTCCAGGTCTCATCATCTCTCTCATGAAGCATCATGAAACTCAGAGCGCATTTCCCATTAAAACAGGGGGTCACAGATTGCATCACATTCTGGAAACCCTTTGCTAGCTACTGCTCCTTGGGTAATGGCAACAGACCAGCTAAAATCTGAGTAGCTGCTGCTGCTGCTGCTTGAGAAAGGAGCCTGTACTACAGGAGAGACGTAATGCTCCTATTAAAATACTGAAAATCAAATAATTTTACCTCTAATATGTATGGAAAATATTACACATCTGCTAATTTGTGTAAACATGGAACTGAGCATGACCCTCATTTGATTAATAGTATCTTAAAGATGATTAAATCCATCTCTAGGAAAAAAAAAATGGACAGTTTTTGCAGATACGCCACAGCATATAGCCATAGCTCAGGGGCTCTCCAGTCTCTTCAAAAGCAATTTCTGAGTTCCTTTTTCCTTCATTTGGTATGGTTCCTGTACTGAGGACCACACAATCTGTCCTGAGAGGTGCACAAAACAAGAGTGGAAAGCAAACGCCTTGCCCAAAGCTACCCAGCAGATTGCTGCCTCTTAGGTCACGTCACTAGAGAATAGCATGGCATCACAGATTTCACAGGTCACTCATTGCACACTGAGGGTCTACACCCCCAATTTGAGATGGACAGGACACTGGCTCCTGAATACCTTCCTGAATGTGGGCAGATAGTGTTTAAATCAACCAAAGCAACTAAATTACTCATAAATTTCAAGTAACAGTTTTCAGGTAGGTCGTTCTACATTTTCTGTAATTAAATGCGAGTTGTAGATGACTTTGTAAATGTAAAAAGCTTTTCTCAGCATCAAAGGAAATTTAGCATATTGACATAATTATCCAGAAAGATGACAGATGAATCATTTCAGCATTTTGTTGAAAGTGTATATACAATTCTGATGCCTGATAGACTGCTACGTGCTAGACTTAACCTTTCTTTAACATAAACAGAAAAGGAAGCAGCCATGAGGAGCAGCTCCCTTCAAAACCAAAAAGGTCCTGCCCTGGGACAAGAATATTTTTTTTCTCCTTTTCATGTTCTGAGCAGAAGTAATTTTCCAGCACCAAGTGCTGCTGCTCAACAGAATAAAACCTCTTTTCTCTGGAAAGTTTACATTTGCAAGTATGAGTCTTCCCAGATGAGCTCGAGAAAAATGTTAGCCACTATTTTTTAGTAAGATTTTGAGTTACGTTTTGGTCTTTGATGAGTGGAAGTCACAAGACCCTGAGGGTTCCTGTTCTTGCCAGGAGTGTCTGGGGAGAGTTTCCTCTGCTGTTTGCCTTATCTTTACAGCACTACCCTAAGGAAGGACCTGAGCTTGTATTTAATCATTCTCTATCGTCTAATATAACCTCAGAAATCTGACATAGCTCCGCTGCCAGCTTTTGCCTCTTCTTGCTCAAGAGACATGGCTGAAAATATGGGTTACTATTTAAATGCACCCTCTCTGTGACTTGCACACTACTCGGCACCACATTTGCATTAGCCCTGATCCCATGTGGACTTACAACAAAGCCAGGTGGGAATTCACATGGGTAGCTTTTGCCCCGAGCACGCCAGAACAGTGTAATAGATACCTCGGAGTTCGTCAGTTAACTGAGGCTGTGACAAAACATGTTTGTTAGCAAGCAGTGCTAATGACAGCCCTACGACTAATAGTGTCCATTCTCTTGACTGTAAGAAGAGCTGGACTCCACCTGTTTGAGACTGCAGTTGGATTTCGTCCTGCTACTTGTTCTCAAGACTGAAGCTTCATACATTTTAAGGATTTAAAAAGAGATTTTCAGTAACAGGTAAAAATTTAGGCTCTTCTGGCCAAACCGTTCTCAGATCTCCTGAGAAATTTCTGCTTTTGCAAAACTTCCAAGCATCTGAACGAACTTTCCGATCATCAACTGCAGCAGGTCAGGCTGCTCACATGGCCATCACGCAGTTTGATACTGCCTCATTAGGGCTGTAACGGGCAGAGTAAAAAAGTAAAGGACAGTACAGTTCATCTGCTGGGCAAGATTCAGATTTTCTTACCCCCATGGAGCTGCCAATCAAAGCAAGATGGACAGAAACCAGCCAAGATGACCAGACCAGAAAGAAACGAGAGAGGATATGGCTTTCCTCTGATCGCTCAGCTTGTCTTAGTTTATTTTAGCAGCGTGTGGAGACACGGAGGCACTGTTGCTGACCTCTGAACTATTCTGTGCTATTTCCCAAGTTCAATATTACACATTTGGGACAATTTCAAAAGCCCATTTCCCTGCCCCACCCGAACACCCAGTCCTGGCACAAAGCCCCACACTACACAACTGTCACGTGAGAAGATTATGACAACCAAAATTCAGCAGTTTTCATGACTCATCACCAGGGTCATCGCTCCTACAGCTCCTGTCCATCAGGTGCAGATGTCTTGGCTAAACAGACAGGCACAACTACTGTTGGGGCACAGTAAAACGCAGGTGACAAAATGATGACAGAACAGTACCAATGTGATGAAGTATGGTGTGTGTGCAAGGACATAAGCATGTGCAGGCACACATACACACCAAATTTTGTGCTTGCAGTGCAAACAAATGGTGTAAAATGCCATGACAGAAGCAGCAAATGGTTATCTACACAGGGACTGAGTGAGAGTCAGTGAAAAAGGGAATGAAAAAGGAAAAAAAACCTAGGAAATCAACCAGTAACTGATTTCCAGAGCTATCCAGCTTTTTGATCATCACCTCCCACCTTCTCCTACATGCTTGGCAAAAAAAACTTGTTAGAAATAAACAACAAAACCTCTTCAGCATAACTCATATCTGAGTGGGAAAACAGCCCAGGGCTTCATAGAACCCTCTTGACCACATCGTGCCAGCTCAGTCAATCACCCAGAACAACTTCCAACACCTTCCTGACTTACTGTCTCTCCTCACAAACTATAAACCCTCTCAGGAGACAGAAAAAATAATGAATATTTGCCATGAAATGGTCACAATTGTGCTGGTAGTTTAAAATACACCTGTTTCACCAAGATGCCACGAATTAAAGCAGTACCAAATGGCAACAAGGTATTTTCCTGAACACATTTTTCCTGTGCTTACTTAGCAGCAATCATCCAACAATAAAAATAGCCTATTTCAGCACCATTACTTTTTCAATAAACCGTAAGTACATAACAGCAGGCACCTGATAAAACATACAAGCAAACTCAAGACCAAGCGTTCAAGCCTACCTTGCCAAAGCTTCCCTTCCCAATCGCCCGGAGAATCTGGAAGTGGTCAAAGTTCACTACAAGGTAAAAAAAAAAAAGAATTTAAATTTATAAATGCTTTCTTGCAAGGATCTTATATTTAAAAAGAAGACAAGGAGACAACTAAAGAGTTTTGGTCAAGCTTTTATTAAAAGTCACTGCCTCCTGGGGAAGATGCAGGACAGCTGTTGTTTTTCTTTCAACAGTGTCATTTTACCTGCTTGAAGTAGCTAGCAAACAGGCTGAATTAGGTAACTAAATACGCGGTTTAGCCCAAGTTAAAATACAGCTTTGACTTGTGTCAATACAGGAGGAGTCTCACAGAGACACCGTAAGCATGCAAGCAAATTCAGAGCATGGCAGAGTGGAGAGCACTGGCGAGCCGCACGCCCCATGCCACGGGCGGCTGCTGCTCTCCACGCGCCTGGCTCCGTGCTGCTTGTGCACATTCAACAGCCAGGTGGTCTGGTATTTGTGCTTTCCAAAGGACAACATCTAGAGGACAGGGACTGACTTCCACTCTCTTCACGTGCAAACCCATTTGTACCAGATCTGTTATTTTTTCCAGAGCCACGGTGAGGAGTAATGACAAGAAAGGACAGTGCAGCTATAACACTTCATCTACTGCCTTGATCAGCAGCCACTGCAAACAAAATTATTTTTACTAAACTATTGCTGTGATCTAATCTGATATTAGTCTTAAATAAATAAAAAAGATAGGTCTATTTATACCAATAATCAGATAATCCCCATTGCCATATAGTTAGAGTGCCTCACAGACAAGCAAATAAATAAAGTCACAAAAGCCAATGTAAAGGACACATTTTACAAATTGCCTCTTTATACCTCAGTTCCTTAATGTTCTCACAGCTCAGTAAGCTGCACGGCTGCAAACGAGGCCCGTGGTGCGCACACCCTCTGCACAACAGTGCTGGCCGCTGCACAAGCACATGCTTTAACTTTTGGTCACCTCTAAAGTGATCAGGCAGTTGGACTAGATGATCATTGCAGGTCCCTTCCAACTGAACTATGCTATCCTATTCTAAGCCCAGTGTGCTCTCAAAGTGTGCAGACGTGTAGCAGGAGCTCGCTGGTGGACTGAGCTGCACCCTGCTCAGTTCCACCCGTCAGCCCTTGACTTTTCTACCATGAGACCTTGACCATGCAATGGGACCCTCAGCATTTCCTCCCCAGAAAGCTCAAAGGTTGGACAAAGAGCAACACTTGGCATGGGCTTGGGGATTTGCAGTGTGAATGACGCACAAAATGGTCAGCAAAGAGCACTGAACCTGTGTTTGACTGACAGCGGAGACCAAAAATCACACAGGAAGAGTGGGAGCAAAGAATTCACTATAAATATTCCAAGTCCCACTCCCAGATCTTAAATAAATGCACATCTGTCATCTCTGAGGATGAATCAAAAGCCCACGCATGCCCATGGAGTTCCTATTACCCTTTTGTGCTAGGCTTATATCCAAAATATTGTTGTTGTCGCTTTTGTGGGACATTTTCTGCAGGAGAACTCGGAAAATTTGCCATATGAAATTGAAAACAGAGTGTGGGCCAGCTCCTACCACGTACCTCCCCGCACTCCCAGTCCACTCCATAAGCGACAATGAAGGGCAGATGCACTGTCTCCTACCCCAGGATGCGCCAGAAGACTCCATGAAAGACCACGTGGGAAAAACAGTGCTGCTCCGTCCTTCTGACAGCCTCCCACACCTCAGTTACACGAGTGGTGTGTCATCTCCTTATCGCTCCCCTTCTCCATGGGTGAACAGCTTTCTTCCAGCAAGACTTGACGGGTCTTGGGCTGAGAAGCCATGAGACATTGGCAAGGACACGGGTAATGCCTGGAGCCAGCGGCCGGTTCATCCGAGACACTGCAGGAGCTGCAAACCAGTCACCTGCTCCCTCCCAGCTGACAAAACCCAGCACTGGAAGGAGCAATCTGCCGCCACAGGCAGCATTTTTCCTACCACCTCTATTAGAGAGACTGTAGTGAGCAATGTGTAACCGCAGCTACATCTTGTTCATAAATATTCTTTCTGAAATCCAAAACATTAGCACATACAATGCTGAAGCATTTGGGGCAACATCTGATTTTTTTCAGGTGCAAGCAAATCCATTAATTGAACTTCTGTCACTAAGTAATACTCAAAAAGCTACAGTGAGCACCTTTAAAGCACAGCATTTTCTTGGTAATTAAACCATGTGCAAGTGCTCATGATCTGAGATCACTCCAGGAGGGCAGTTTTTGACAATTCTTTATTATAATGTTTGGAATAGTGTGTAAAAAAGCATTGCTGCTGAGAAAACAAACCCAAAAGTGCCATTTCCATGTATCCATGACTACAACTGATCCACAAAGCGTGCTCTAGTCAGCAGTCAAGAAACAAATCTAGATATGAATATTCACCAGGCACTTGAACCTATCAGCAAAGATGTCACTTTTAATAGATTAAATACACAGTCCTGCTGATTAGAAGTTCAGATAATGGTAGATGAACAGGCACTGACTGGTTTTGTCAGTTTCATTATTTTCTTCAGGAATTAGTAAGAAATCCAGTTAAAGAAAAAGCAAATCTCAACATTTGAGGAAGAAAATCATAGTAGCAGCATGTTGCTTTTTGTGCACAACACACTGGATTTCTAAAAATGACAACATATCACTACAGAATATGTGATTATCCCTAAAATAGAAATCCTGAACCTGCCTGGAACAATTACGTTTGCTCCAGAGATTCCACTTTCTGTGAGCTGACAAGAGAAAGCTGTCTTTCACCCACAACTAGAAGAGCTGATTATTTTGGGGGTGACTGGTACGAGCCTGAGTCATAGACGCCAGTGGAGGATTTCATGACACACGCTCCCAGCGAGCAGGAGATGACAGCTGTTGCCTATTCACAGGACCATACTCCCCCACTACTGTGACTTTAGCACGGCACAGTTTTGACAGTCACAATCTGTAAGTACCGAAATGGTTCTGGCTTGAGGTTGGACCAGAGGAACCCGCGAAAGGGGGAGAGGGACCTGAAAACCGTCTGCAGTGTACAAATGCAAGGGAGCACGGCACCACGGCACAAGGACCCTGACTTGTTGGTCACACCGCAACCCAATGCCATCTGTTGTGCTGAAATGGCCCAATGGGTATTTTGTTAGCTCCTTGTGAAAAAACTATGCTAATTATTCCTATTGACTCCTCTAACAGCTTGTTATCAATATAGCACCTTCGCGGGTAAGTGGAACTGCTGGACATAAGATGTTGGTATTTGCCATGAAAGAGACATGCCTCTTCCTGACTCGCCCTGGCATCAAGTGACAAACCATGAATCACAAGTACAGATAAATACCGTGACCTGGATTTGCTTAGTTTGGCATGTTTTTGTTCTCCATCTCCAGTAACGCCTGAAAAGCAGGATGGCAGGGTTTCACGCGCCTGTTGGACCTCACAAAACCTCACGCAGCCCAGTCCAGCCCACTTCACAAGAGAGTGCCAGGTGCTGCACTGACATCTCTATAATTAAGATTTCACTGTAGTCACAAAATGTACTGTGTGATAAAGCAGACTGGATGCACAGCTTCTATTTTCCAATGAAATAAAGAGAATGAAGAATATGTTTCTCTGCAAAAATTCTTTATACAGAAGGATGAGTATACCTCAATGTAAGATGAAAAAAAAAAATGAGGCTTTTGCCTTTACTATCTTAAAATTATAACTGTTGCTCTTTATTCTGCATTCATTTACAAGATATTTAGAAGTATGGCAAGATAAAATTACCATAAAACTTCAGATACACAGGGGGCAGCCAGTGAGGGTTCAACATCAGGACCTGGTATTAATGTCCAATAGTAGGAAAACAGTGGATGCAGTTAGCGAACCTGGCATCCAATATTCTGAAATCTGGGGAAAACAGAAAATTAAAAATCATGTTTTCAGGATCGAGACAACCTTTCACTATTTATCTGCATGTTTTCCAGCTTCATCAATAAAACCACGGAAGTTTTAACTCCAAGAATGACTGTCTACACCACTAAAGACCTAAGAACTTATTTTTTGAATCTTGTAACAGCAAATTTGTAGAGCTAGTATGACATGATCAACTTTCTCTTTCTATCACTGTACTTCTATATGTTGGCATAATTAATAGCATTTGTCTACCTATTATATTACTGCAATCTAGCTTTGGAAGAAAGCATCACGGTAATTGATGTAGAAACATTAATACGTGGCCACAGTAACCACAAGTGTGCTGCCACAAAATGCCAAGAGTTTCATCTCACAGAAAAGAGAGTTACAGCTTAGACTTAGAAGTCATCGCACACATTGACTCCAGCCAGAGAGGAAAGGCCGATTCTGCAAACCACGAGGCAGTGGATGGACGGAGAGGGCAGCCAGCCAGGCTGTGCCGGGAGGGGGACAGCCTGCGGGGAACATGGGACACAGGGCTGCTGCAACGGGGGAAAATGGTCGTGAAAGTCAAGAGGACGACAAAAAGGAATGACAGCAGGATTAACAGATGTCGGGATTAGGAGCAGCTTTCAGAGTGATGGGGAGGGCCTGAGCAAGGGGATCGGGCAGCCCAGGGAAGTACTGCAGAGAGCCTGTAAGCGAAGTGTAGGCATCACTGTAAAGGGAAACCTCAGAAAACTTCCAAAGAAGTGGTAAGCCTGCTAAAAACAGCAGGGGAGAGAGAGAGGCAGGACAACCGGAGGGACTGGGAGGACTGGGAGGTATGAAAAGCTTTCAAACTGGAGGATCAGCCTGAGTGAATTGGGAAGATTGGGAAGACTGGGGAGATCAAAAGTGAGATTTTTGATTAGAGATGAGGTAAAGTGACTTGTGGGAGAAAGCAGAGGTATTTGACAGAGAGAGGGAGCAAAGGGCAATGGGGAACGGTATCAGCAGTCCTCCCCAAACCTGAAACCCTTGAATGCAAGGCATCCATTTTTCTCCAACTGCAAGGCTCCATGCGGCACACGAAACCACTGCTTTCCCTTCTATCACTGGAAAAAGCACGAGCAAATATGCTCGGTC